TTAGTATATCTATAGCTATCTAATAAAGGCTCTTTAATAAACGTATGCTTGTGGTGGTAGAAGCTGCAATGATGCAGAGATGTTCAAGTGTTATTATTTACTGCAGTGTTTGCGCAGGATGGCGAATCCTCTGCTGCAAATGGCATTACAGCTGTGATGAATGAGCATTAGGGTAACTCATTTTAAATGTGCTTGATTTATTAGTGCAGGGGTCTCCATTTCCAGCAGGTCAATGCTTTACTGAAACACACAAAGTCATTGTCAAGGTCAGCCTATTTATGAATTTTTTAAACAAAATGCCTTGATCACATATCAAGTCCTTCACAGAAAGGAAAAACAGAAAGGAATGGCTTTTGCAAAAGATTTCTTTAAAAAGGCCAAAGGCAATGTTGGTCAAGCTTCAATTATGACTCCTAGTAAGACAAGAACCTTAATGTTCACTGTTTGCCTTCGGGGATGTTTATTACACACAACTATTTTGCAGAAGCAGCGTCAAATCTACAGTATAAAACTACCATTAGGCAGAAAAATCAATCAAAATGCCATTAAAGTGGAATAAGTTGCCAATATTGCTGATGTGGTTGCAGGTCCTTTGATTTTCTTTCAGATTATTAGGCACAGTCTAGTAGTGACTTTGTTAAGGGAAATGAGTGTTGTTCAGAAGTAATATGTCTCTTGGCTTCATAAAGTTTGTGGCCTCATATTTCCCAGTTTATTGATTATCCATTATCATTTGTCATGAGGCGTCCTAACTCAAGGGGAAAATATAACTCTCTTTTTCTTGCTGAGCAGTGGTGCTGTATAGATCTGTAGAAAGGTAGTTCAGATGTACCAATCTTGGAGAAAAATGAGCAAAGAAATAAAGCAATGAGCGTGCCTTCCAGGTCTAAGCAGTTTAAAGGGTAGATTGCTGACAGTACTTTGTTCTCACATCAGCCCTTTTTCCCCTTATAACACAAGAACAGCAAGATGTAAGTTCACAAGGCCATCACAGTAACCTTAATGCTGTACTGCAGCTGTGTTAAAATGTAAATATGAGGTGTTCTTTATCTTCTTTGAACACTATTACATTTACAGAAGTTTTCTTTACGTGTATTTGATTTTCTTAGGTGCACTATGGTTATTTCTGCTAAAGTCCACAAAAATGTAATTAAGTTATTACTTTAATGTTTGCATAATTGCAATACAAATGGAAGTAATTTCTTCATTTAAAAGAAACGTGTGTTACATCCTGCCTGCCTTTATTGTATTCAAGCAATTACTCAGTTTGACCACAACTAGAAGTAGTATAGCATCTTGAGTAAGAAGAGCAGATGACCTGCTTTTGTTTAAATATTCACCAGTGTCATCTTACTTTTAATTAAGTAAGGAAGAGATCTATGCAAGAATAGTGTTTCAATAAACTTATTTTCTGACTGGCATTATTGTTCACGTAAACACCTTAGCAATTCTATGCTACTTTGGTTTTTACACAATCAGCCTGTTGGTATGCTGCCACTGTGGTAACTGGCTTTCCGAAGAAAGAATTACAGTTGAAGATACTTTACCTTAGCTGCATAGGTAATAGAAAATTAATAATATACAGGTTTGTTGGTTTTTTTTGCAGGACGTTACATAAGCAGATGATGTTTATGTGAGAAAGAAAATAATACATTCAAAGCTAGTATAGTAGTCAGTTTTGTTTGATGCCTTTTCTTCTAAAGGCTTAATTTAAAACCTTGTAGAACCCATGTGACATCAGCATAATATAAAATTCAATATGTCAATTCATTATTACTCTGATACAGGTAAAGAATAGAATGTCTGGTAACCTCAGGTGGGAAACTGAGGTTGACAGTCTCAGAAATAGAGGAAATTCATTTTATACCTGTAGCTCATTACTCAAAGTAGTGTCCAGTTAAACATTTTCCTAATGTGAATCTGTGAGGTTTTGCTGGTTTTTGAACAGTCATGAAATGCCTCAATTTTTTCATAATCAAGTCATGATACTTAAATCAGTAGCCCTTCAAAACAGTGAATTCTACTCAGTCTTCCTCAGTTACTCTTCGTTATTCTACCATGCTATCGGCCTCTCTATTGGCAAACTGTTACTTGTGTGTTATTCCTGCCTGCTAAAAAATTGTTATTATTTTAATTTTTAGTGTTAATAAAGTAAATATATACACCACCTTCTGGTTCATGTTCTCAAAAGTTTTTATCCTGTGTACGAAGTGTTTTTAACAGTGTACAAAAGCTAAAGTAAAATGCCTATTTATTTATACTATTCACTTATAAAAGTAGTGCTTATTTCAGATGAGATGAATAAGATGCAAATATGTAACATGGCATGATAGGTCTGGAAGTGTTTTGGTTTAGTATATCATTCTCTTTGAAAACATTTGCACAAACTTATGCTTCTGCGTGTGACGATGCCATTCCTTGTAGCTCTTGTAAAGCCTTTAAGCTCATTTTGGGTTTATATTCCATTGCATTAGGGTATAGTTTTCTAAACAAAATATTTTCTTGAAAATACTACTTTCAACTGAATGTGATGCTTTTAGGAGGCAATGTTTGGGGAGAAGATTAAAATTACTTTCAGCAGAGCGTTTATACAAATTCATTAATAGTAGTAGCATTGCTGCTTATATGGCAGGTCCCTTCATTGTCACAAGTTCCAAGAATCCTTTTCACGGTGTCATCTGAGGCTTTCCATTCAACCACTGAAGAGAGTTACAAAGCTTTGGCCCTGATTTGGGGCAAAACAAATGAAGAACAGGAAAAGAGTGGTTTCACTTTGTTTTCATGACTGAAGCACACACAGGTTAAAGGAATTTGCCTGAAGTCACACAGGAAATCTTTGGCAAAGCAGGGAACTTTGCTGGTCTCAAGCCTGGTCCACACTCAAGGATATAATATACTACCAGTTGAACTCTGTCAGCAGTTGTTCCCAGGAAGGAGGCAGCTTGTGCTTTTGCAGCAATGTTGTTTTTTCTCTGAGAAATTATAAAATGAAATGTTTGATGTTTTTAGAAGGCATTTTTCTAGAATAAAGTCTTTCCACTACTATTAGTAATGACTGGTATATGCAACTACCCAGAATAAGCATCTGGAGAGAAAACAAAGCCAGTGCTTGCAAGGACTGTCATTGAAAATAAACTGGAGGCATCTCCTGATTATTTTTTTTTTTGTCATTATAGTATCAATATCAGTGAATAAAAGACTGATAAATGATCCTAAATTCACTTCTGATTTATTTTGTGTCTTACATTTATACATTTGAAAATAGCATGGAAAGCCTTTTGCCAGCTTTTAAATACACTCAGATAAACGTGTTGACACTGAATAAGTAAATAAATTTGAGAACTACTAAACTCTATCATCCAGTCTACAAAGTGTTTAAGATTGTTGAGACCAAACATTGTCTTTAAAGGCTGTTTTGAATTTTTATGTATCTTCTTCCTTAAGTTCTCATAGGATATGGAGGTTATTTTGGGTTACATTTTCTTTATACTGAGCAGTTTCCTTAGGAGCTGCCTGATGCTTTTGAAGTACGAACTGTCCAGTGAAACTGAATAAGTGAACAAGGGCCTGCTTTCACCCTGTGCTAATAAAATCCTTCAGTGTTTCAAGACTTTTAGAGTTAATCGTATCAGAATGGGTAAGTGGCTACAAATTTGTAAGTCTGTAGTTGCTGGTTGGATCATTTTCAGAATTATCAACATCATCAGTGTTTTCCTTATAAAAGTGTGTGTCTCTTCCTGCCGAGTGGATAACTGAGCTAACAGGTTTTTTGTATATTTTTATTCTTTATTTCTCTAGCCTCCAAAACTCTTATAAATAGTATGCTACGGGACCCTTCTCAGATTCCAGATGGAGTTCTAGCAAATCAAGTCTATCAGGTATTAATCACAGTTGTCCTTTTTTTTTTTTTTTTTTCCTATGGCAGTGCTGCTATCTGCCTAGCAGAGTAAAAGATTTTAAACCTCATTTAATTACTGTCATCGTAAACTATCAGTGAGGTCAGGGTGCACCATAAATGGCAATGCAATATTTGTGAGGGGAGCATTTCACTTTTTAATAGCTTGCTTTTATAGTGAGTAAAAGCATGCAGTTTTTGTTTTCTGTGATTAAATCTGAACAGCATCTGATAGCCTTTTTGAAGAAATGTAATTACTGTTTTTAAGATACTGTTTAACTGGAATGGTTTTGTAGTTGCCCATCACTATACTACTTCTCTTATTTTTCTGCAGTGTACTGTGAATGACTGTTGTTATGGACCACTGGTGGACTGCATCAAACAGTATCCTTTCCCATAAAATTTTAGGTGCACAATTGACGAGCTTAGACTGTGTGGAAAAGATGTGTCTAGCTTTAACCTGACATAAAGTTCTGCTTCACAAAACACGTTTCATACTCCTGTTTTACATTCAATCAGCTAGAGGGTCACTGCAGAGCTTTCTCTTATACTGTTTAACAAAAATCAGACGGACCTCAGGAAGTTGTCAGTTTGGTGGCTACACGTTCGTATGCCTGATTGAACCTCTTTGGTTTTGATTAGTTGAAATGCATGTCTGGTTTTCTATTAAGACTAGTTGACTCTGCTTTGAGTAGTGGAGTTGGACTAGATGATCTCTGAAGATACGTTCCAGTCTCAACTATTCTGTGATTAAATTAATAAGTTGCATAGATAGTGTTCAACATTATGGCATTGCTTTGTTATGAATATGAGTTTTAATTGGAGTGTTTTCAAGTGCAATTCAGGTGTGATTGACTGATTAGGATTTTTAAACTCGTATTGGACATTCCAGTGCAGTTCTTTTACTTTCTCTTCTTCTTAAATGAAATGAGGCTAGCTGTAGAAAAAATCCTATGTAGCTTGAATTTTAAGGGATTTTTTTTTTGTAGCATTAAAATGATTAATTAGAGATCCTCAGTATCCAGTGAGAATACTGGGGGCTCTCTACACAGTACTGAGTATTCCAGACTAAGATTATAATTTGTTAGAAATTATCGCTGTGACCCAAAATCTGTTTTAATAAAGTCCTGAATGAGTAGCTCTTCTGTTTCAGTCTGCTGTCAAAAGGAACAATTTCAAAATCATGGCCTGCTAGCACTGAGCAGCCTAGCAAGGCAATTCCTTCCCAAGCCTTGGAAAATCCTTGCATAAATCTCTGCATGCAGTTTGGGGGAAGATCTTGATTTCACTGTACAGTTGCAGGATAGGAAAGCTACAGTGATGTTTAGTTATGCATGGAAAACAACGCTTCTTGTAGTTGTGATACATGGGGTGGTCACCCCTTAAAAATATGTTCTTTCCACCAGAAATAACTTGCCTGGTGTCTGCTACAGACTCAGCCCTGCTCCCATTAACTTCAGCAACAGCAAGACAGTGTTCTAATTGTATTTGTATTTTGTGGTTTTAATCATAATTTTAAGTATTCCTTGAGACTATCTTCAACATTAAACACAGCTCTCTGAAAGTGGGTCAATCTAGTAAGTTACACTTTTTGGAAGGTTGTTGATTACTAATTTTCATATCCAGAATTTTAAGATTAATACTTTGTTGATAAGCAATCTGGCTGTAGTCTTCTGAAAGTGTCATGTTTAAAAGTAATAATAACACATATATAGAATTATGAACAGTTTTTAAGAATAACTTGCCTGCAGTTTAAAAAGGTCTTTTCTATCCCCTGCAGATTCTGGTTGAAGTGAAGTTATTGAATATACAGTGACATCAATGAAAATAATGAGGAGTTTTTCAATTCCATTTTGGTACAGAAAAGTTTAATACTAAGCTGTGCGAGTGCATTATCTGCAAGTATGTTGCTGAATTAGATGTTAATTTTGAGGTGCATAAAATAGTTAAAAATCAATTTAAAGTTAAGGTTTTAAAAGCATAATGTCTTCTGAAGGATTGCATATTGATTTTAAATATAACTATCTAATTGTATATGCATGGACTAAAGTATGAAGTCAACCTCTTTGTAAATGCCAAGAGGCTATTTTTCAGTAATAGTTCAGATGCTTACGGGAAACTAGGCTGCTAGATTGCATGAGTAGAAAATGGCTTGTGAGGTTATTTACAAGTTTTGCCCCATGGTCATTGCCATACATCAATAACAGGTATTATTATAGACTAAGTCTGAGTGTTTCTGCTTATGGTGCATTATAAATTCTGTTTGCAGTATTTTTCTTATATCCTTGCTGTTCTTCATTTGCCCCTTTTGTGCTGTAACTGCTAGTAGAATTTAACATAATACATAGTTTCAATTGAGAAAAACTGTGTATATACGTATATGTATGAAATGATTCCATACAATTAGGTTTTTTGCTGTTCAGCATAAAGTGTTGATTTAAATTAAGTAATTAACTGTAATGGTAAGCTGATCTGTAGTTTCAGTTTTCAGAAGTTATTCTAAACAGAAATAGGAACTTAACTGTTTTTAATGTAAGATCCTTTATCATGATGTTCCATAAGATTCTTCTTAAAAACTTCCAGAATAGAACTTTGACCTCCAGGAGGATACTTTGAAAATGTTTGATGTGGTGACTTTTTTACATATTGCTAAGAATAGCACATTGGATCAACAGGCCATCAGTGAAAAGGACTTCACTATAAAATATTATTTCATCCTTCCATGACATCAGTTCATGCTTCTGAAAAATCAATTAAAAGGATGTTTTGTTACAGCAAGATATTTCAGATGGATGTAATGCCTATCAGTTTCAGAATATAAAGAAAAAAACAGTTTATTTCATTCTTTGCTGAATTAGACAATTGGTACACTAGTCAGTAAAAAGCAACTTAAAAGGTATTTAACATGTTTTGAGCTTGCACTTTCTTCTAAATTTGGGGGGAAAATAAAGCAAAAATGGAAATATTACCCTTATTTATACTGAATAAATATGATCTAATGGGTCTTAATTTTGTAAAATGTATGCTGAAGATACAGTAGTCTGATTTTCACAAAGTGCTAAATGCCTCTGAAAATCCTTGTAAGGAATTTCAAAACAGAGTTCAAATCACTGATCACTTCTGACATACAGATGAAGGCCAATAAATTTTATCATGAATTACTTTACCTATGATGTTTTTCTGAAGTTGGTTCTTTTCCAAAGTAATCTTCCATTTCTTAACCTAAAGCTATCAGTGCTATTGGACATGAGCATGAAGTCTTGCTGCGAGAAATGCTTTTGGAAAAAAATCTCTCTTTCATAGGTAAGAATCTGTAGCAGAGGCTAGCCAGTGAATCCTTAACGTCAAAGATTTTGGTGACTGTTTACTTAAGAAAAAGCCTCAATGCTCTTTGTATTAGGTAGTAAAGGAAGAGTAAAAAATGATTGATGCTGTACATGTTATCTTTTATTGATTTAGAACTGAGCAGGAACTCAGTTACCTAATACCCTATATATACAGCACATGCACAGGCTTGCAATTAATATTTTATAGAATAAGTAGCTGAAAAAAATGCTTTAATATCTGCTGCAGTATTACTTTTGGTGTCATGAGATATTAGCCATAATCTAGGCCTTATGAGACTTAGGAGGAAGCATAAGAAATATTAGCTTCAAAATGCTTTATGTATTAAAGAACTGCTAGAGGATTCACTCATTTAGCTTTCTGTGCAGTTTCTGCTGAATTTCCCCCCCCCCACTTCCCAGTCAATGCAAGTACTCTTTTTACAATCCCTGTATTTAAAGTTATTTTAAGGATTAATTAGGAAGTTATTTTCATTTTTTTCTTCTAGCTTGCACTATGCTTCTTGTATATGAGTGCCATTAAAACAATGATTAGTGTGTAAAGCATCATTTCTCTTATTGTGATAATAAACTTAACAATGACTTCTTAAATTTTGGATTTCTTATGTGATGAGACAATAGCAAAGTAAAATGCTGTCTTTTGTCAGTGGTTGAGTGTTGTACTAAATTTGTGTGATCACAGAATTTTGCTTGTTTTACCAGAAACTGTGATCTCTCCTAAAGCTAGATTCAGGTTAAGATTTTGGAAACCTGAAACAAATTTAAGAAATTAGAAAGAGATTTAAGGTTTTTGAAAGATTTGTCCATGTGATTAAGAAACAGAGTTAATGTGCTTTTTTATTTTAGAGAAAAATAATTTAAAAATTACGGGAGTAACTATTGCTTATGAACTTGCAAAAGACACTGTGAAAATGTGAGGAGGTAGTTTTTCGTACTTAGCTATAAGAGCAGAGATACAGGTAATAGGCTTAAGCTGTAATTGCCGAGGTGATGTTGAGTTAAAATACTAAACAGTTCTAGGAACGATAAGTATAAAACAAACTGCCAGGGAAGGTTATGGAATCACCTTCAATGAAAAATTCAAGGCTAGACTTGACACTCATCCATCAAAGCTGGTAATGAAATCAATCATGTCACGATACAAGGGAATGGACTAGATGACTCACTAATGGATCCTCAACCCAACGATTATAATTTTATTTGGCTTGTGCAAGCTTGTGTAGTACACAAATCAGATTTTAATTTTAATGTTTCATGACCTTGGATAAGCATCAATTTTATCTTTAGAAATAAGCTCTGAGGAATTTGTCCTGTCAAATCAAAATATCTAGAATGAGTTAACTCATTAGAATATAAAGATATAAATGGGAGAGGTTAATTTATTGTTTACTTTTTATGTATACTGAAGTGTTCTTTAGTCATGATTTAAGAGATATGAAGTGGTTGTATTTATTATTTCTGGGCATTGCATGTGTCTCTAAGGTTCTAGGTGTGATTTTAAAAAAAAAAAAAAAAAAACACAAAAGTTCTTCCTAAGTATCTATAAGGTGAACTCTACTGAACCTCTCACAATAAAATCTTTCCTTTCTGAAAAATTAGTTCCAAAACTGCTTGAAGAAAATCTCAGGAAAACAGAAAAGATTACAGTATTCCCTACAGGTCAACAAATTCAGAGGTTGTTAGGCTATGAGTAGGACTGCATTCCAGTTTTGAAGATGACTTATGACTTAAATTGCTGTACTTGCAGTTCCATTACTTATTAACACCTGTTGAAGAAACAGAATTCTTGCAGTTTCCATGTTGGTGTACTATTCCAGTGTACTATTCTAAAGAATAGTAAGGATTTTTTTGTATCAGCTATGTTCACCTGGGCAACAGAGTGTCTATTACAGGAGAAGAAAGCACAGTCAGAGGACACAGTGAATATAAATTGCTCCAGTATAGTCTTGGAGCATGAAAGAGCTTTTCAGATCTGGGACGTAATTTGTCTGTTTCTAGAGCAGTTAGCTTTCAAAGCCTACAGATCAGAAGTAACACCTTCAGATTCACCGAGAAACTAATTGGAAGCCTATACAAACTAATGGAGTTCGCATTTTATTATTCCACTGTTCATAAGAAGCACATCATACACCACTCGTACACCACCTCTCTTCAGCAAAAACACAGCTCTCAAATCTTCATCACTTTGCCTGAGATTAAAGTGATTAATGGAAGCATTCTCTCTAAACAGGCTAACAGCTTCAATTGCCATACTGAAATGCAAGGAATTTCTAGGTTTTGTATAGGATCTTTATTATTTTATATCTTTGCCATGAATATATTAGGAAAGTTTTTAGCTATATGGGGAGGTACTGACCTTTGTCTGGAATCGTGTCCTGCTTTGATTCCACCATGATGTCCCTCAGTAGTCACCTGGATATAAATCATGAAAACTGATTGGTGTTTTCTGCTGTAATCTTAAATATGTAGCTGCTGCGCATTCATGCACCGACAGAAGAGTGTTTGGTTTCTTTGTTGTATCCAGAGGCTAGTATAAGAACAATGATGTGTTAAATGATTATGATTGAGTGTGAAGTTATGGTAAAGATGAAGCTGCAGTTTTGTTGGAGAGCTGAATTAATGGGGAATCTGTAGACAAACTACTTATTAGGGCTGTTTCAGCGTAATTTTCAAATCTGGATGCATAAATGTAACTATCAAAGCTACTGTGGGCTGGCTTTTAAGCAGTTGTTAAATTATTCTCTTAATCCATGCAAGAGCTAAAAGATCTTTTAAGGTGCAGAATGCTGCCTCTGTAGCTTCTGGACCAATCTGAAACATACCTAGGCTGAAAAACTAGAGCTTCTTTTCTTGTAGTAGGGTTTTGGTTTAAAAGAAAAAAGTTTATGGTGATTGTGGGAAGTTTCTGCAATTATTCTTTTTTTTTTCCCCCAAAGTTATAAAGCTACAAAATATTTGAAGAAATAGTAATATATAATTATGTTCTTGCACATGATAGACAACTCACATCAATAATAAATGTGGTTTTTAACATATTTTCCAATGTTTATCACAATAGAAAATGTTAGGAGAAACCAAGTGAAAACATTCAGAAACAGAGTTAAAAACAAAAAACATGTTCTTTTTCAAGCCATGTGTTAGTATCAGATGATTTTAAAAGTAAAATCAGGCATCCTTGAAAAAAGTATATGCTGAAGGATGTTAAAAGTAATGCTGATGCAAACTCCAGTTCAGAGACCTGCCAAGTTGACCTATCAGGAAACGTGTTTACATCTGTCCTGGTTTTCAGTGGTGTTTTTTTAAGGTACATTTCCCTGAATTTGTGATATTAGCATTTGTTAGATGTGAAAGAAAAGACTGAACTTTCTGTTGCTATTTGTGTGCTCTTAAATAATGAAAATATCATCTGGGACATCCTGTTGTCTTTTCTAGACTGTTTTAAACAATTAAGAGCAGGTTACAGTTACAGTTGGATAAAATTGGAAATTTGTTTATTTTTATCAAAATTAAGAGATGATCTAGAACATTAATTCATTTTTATGTTATGGCATAAAACTCTCTATTCATAGGTTCTGCTAAATTAGAACTTTTTTAATCTTAACATCTTTTATCCATATACCTGACAATCGAAGTTTAAAAAAATAGCCAAAAACTAAGTATGTCTCCAAATCCTAGAAAAGTTTAATAGCCGATCAGGTGATATAATGAAGTGTTGCATTGCAAAGACTTGTGTTTACAATACAGTGTGCTTACATTGAAGAAATACTCTCAAATTTCAAAATAAATACTATGGCTATCAAAAAGAATAAACAGCTATTGCAGTTTACATTTCAGTGAATGTACAACTTCCCAAAATTACTCCTGTCCCACTTTCAGTATGAGTTCACTATATAAAAAAATACTTCAGACTTATATTCTTCAATGAGAAAGAGGGGGGAAATTTTCTTTAGGCACTTTTAAAATATTTTGATTTCTAAGAGTGTATGTTTTTCTTGTCATTAAAATGGTACTTGGACTCAAACCGTTGACCTTTCAGGATGTGCACAAAATATTCAAAAACTGAGTTCTGAACATTGGCCATGAAACTACTGTCCTAACCTGATAAATGGATTGGAAATAAGCTACCCAACAGTGAGAATGGACCATTAATTTTAATCAAAGGTGATGTAGAAAGGCGAATGGGATGCATGACAATGTCAACAGCCCAGTAGGTGTTAAGGGGCTACACAGCCTTACTTGTTACTAGGTAGTGCCATTAGTTGAGGTTGGGTGAAGACAGAAAGCCATGCCTGGAATTGAATGACCAGGTCACTCCAAATTCTAATGGAGAAGTGGTGTTTCAGAAATACTAGTGTAATGGTATCGGAAATCAAGGACAATAGTTTAGAAAATATTAAGGGGTTGCTTGGGCTTTTTTTTTTTTTTTTGAGAGGCAGCGCATCTTTTGTCTTTTGCAGTTTTATCTTACTCACTCATTATTGTTTCTTGAAATATTCAACTCTAATATTTGTAAGCAATAGAGTTGTATAGTTAATTTAGCAGAATTTCTAAGTCTTTCTAGGTTCTGAAATTAGATAAATTCTATAGAATTCAGGATCCAAGAGAAACTAAAATTGTGGCTTCTCTCTCCTTCAATAAATTTCTGGAAGAGAATGATTTTCTTGTTCTTTTTTAAACAATTTTATGCTAACATTAAAACAAAACCAAAAAGGCAGCTACAGTATATCTGCATTCATGATGTTGGTAGGTTTAATCTTAACACTTCCGAATGTGGGGAGACTCTTCTTTCAATCAGCAAATATACCTCTTTATTTTGAATATTTGGGGGTTATAAAATACTGTGTGACAGCTTGAATTAATGATGTTTATAATGAAGACATAAAAATGCAGGGATGACAAAGAAGCATTTTTATATCCATGCTTCAGGTTTTCTACAAAGGTTCATTTAATCTGACACAGCATTGCATGCATAAGAAAGATATGTATGACTGCATTAGTAATTCTTGCACTCTTATTTAAAATAAAATTAGTTATGCTGCTGTCTACTTAATAGGATAGTTTTATAAACAATAGTTCTTATTCTTTATGTATAGCTGAAGATCAGCTTCGTGCAAAGGGTTATGACAAAACACCAGACTTTATTTTAGAAGTGCCAGTAGGTAAGTCTTTCAAATGAATTATTATTATTTTATTTTATTTAGAAGTGTTCATGATAAAATGTCATGGCTACTTAAGTGAAGTATATTCTAGGATACTACGAATTAGTCTCCTCTTTCTAGTAGTTACCCAATAATTTAAAGAAATTCTAGTCTGGGTCAGAGAGGTTTGATCATAAGTAGTATTACCCAGTGTTTCGTCTTTGGTCTCTGGATGTTTTTGTCTCATTATCACAGAAAGAAAAAAAGAAAAACAAGCAACAATAAGAACCTCCAAATCCCTGCTCCCTCAAACCTGCTCTGACCACTTTCTTTATGAACAGAACCTGTAATTATCTTAAACTTCTACACCCAATCAGTTCAAAGCAGTCTTAAGAGTATTACCATTACACCTGTAGGTCATTGTGTAAAGGTTTGTCATTCTGCAGTTATTCTTTTGCCATGGCTTTGCACCTAAATACAGCTCTGCAGTTTTCTATTGTGTTTTAAAAGCCTGCATAGCAAGAAGGAATAAAAGCAGGTATAAAGGTCGTGTCAGAGTTCATCTACGTTTTCTGGTCTTGAGGCCATGTAAGAAGGTAATCAGATGATCAGTGGCTGGGCTATAGAAGAAAAAACACCCATGTTGTCCAAGTATAAAGGATTATTAATCACCTTTTGTAAACTGACTTTCATGCCAAAACAGTTCTGCTTTGCCTCCATAGAACTGAGCACCTTTCTATGCAGATGTCTATCAGAGAAATTAAGAAGGCTGAAAGCACTATGTGAAAGTCATATACATGACTAGTTTTATGTTCTTCCTGTTGGCAACAGTTGGAATTCTTACTGAGATAACTGATTTATACACTGGTGTGAGGAATTGAGTGTGTACAATAAAATGTCTCACTACTCAGAAGTGCTTGAGATACCATCTTTCAGCACAATAATCTGTTACCCAATAGATAAACAACTATATATACAAGAGTCTTCTGAAAAGTTTTTAAAGACTTTCCTTAACTCAATGATGTTTGTATTCCTAATTATGTTTCCAAAAAATAAAAATAGTAGTGATGTTAATAAGAGATTGTATGTGCAAAATAAAAAATACCTTTGTAACTGAAGCACTCTGTATTTGAAACAGTGAGATTTGGCATCCTAATGATCTGCAGTTCACTCTTGTCAAGCCACACTTGGAGAGTTTTCAGTTCTTTTCTACTCCTTCAGTTCCATAGTTGTTATTTGTGGAGAGTCTCAGGAAGCTACCAAGAACTCGAGAGGATGAGGGAACGGTTGTTTTTTATGAAGACTAAAGTTAGCAGGGAAAACTGTAAAATTACAGAATCACAGAATGGCTGAGGCTGGAAGGGATCTCTGGTGGTCATCTGCTCAAGCAGGTTCACCTGGAGCTGGTTACCCAGGACCATGTCCAGGTGGCTTTTGAGTATCTCCAAGGATGGAGACTCCACAACCTCTCTGGGCAACCTGTGCCAGTGCTCGGGCACTCTCACAGTAAAAAAGTGTTTCCCGATGTTCAGACAGACCCTCTTATGTTTCAGTTGGTGCCCATTGCCTCTGATCCTGTCACTGGGCACCGCCAGCTTGGCTCCCTCTTCTTAACACTTGACCTTTGGATGCTATTGGTAAGATTCCCCAGTAGTGTGGACTACAGTATACACAATATGTACTTAGTATTAAAACACTCACTTTTACGTTAGAAGCAAAGAAGATTATATCCCAGCTATTCAGGAGCCTGATTAAATGGAAAGTAGAAGAGCAACTAGATGGAGCCAATGTTTTTTTAATGCTTGAGAAGGGAAACTGGGAAACACCCAAAAGAATTCCTACATTTGTAATATTGCCCTATTAGAAAGAAGGTTAAAAATAGCCATTAATTTCTTTGCATGCATTGTCTCTAAAAATCTGAATAGTGATAGTGATTACTTTTTTTGAAATTATTTCAGTCACTTGAGATTGACAGAAAATTATTTTCTACCTGTTATCTGATCTGAACTAATGTATGGCAGCCTTTGCCTTCTCTTCTCATGACTCAGTACATAGCTAGGAAAGGCAAATGTTTCTTAGAAATTGCTTCTCAACTGACTACACAGTTTATGCCTCAGCTGTTAATATCTTCTGGGGTCTAAAGATACTGAGGAGGTATTGGAGGTGGGGGAAGAATGTAGTAGTATAGGCCTACACAATTTAACTTGATTACTGATAGCAGGGTAGTGGTGGCAGATAGAGCTTAGTGTGGTGATTTCATGAGTTATTTACCCAGATTTCCCAGGTAATTTTACAGTCTGTGGTCAATCATGTGCTGCCATAGCCTCTTCTGATCTTTCTGTATTGTCTGGGTCTGCATGCTCTTTGGGTACCTCATCCCAGGTCAAACTTAGGCTGAGACATCATGGCTGTGGATATTACAGGCAACTCAAAATAACAGAAACATTTTTAAAGACCTCAATAATGATACCCCACATTACCTTTTTGGAGAAAGAATGATCTTTTAGAGTGATTCTCATGATTTCTCCTGCAAAATTATGTTGTCAAATTCAGAGAGGACTTCCCTTTTACCAAAAAAAGATAATTTTATTAATACTAGAAATTTACTCCTGCAAGAAGTGAAGAAAAACGTGAACCAAAAGAAATCCCACAGCATTGAAAGAAACAGAAATTCAAAATCACATTTTTTCACATAAGCGTTCTTATTCCTAACTTCTTTCTGGTGAAGCATTACTGATTTTGCAAAAGTAAAGAAGCAGATATATATCTATGAGAAACTTTGTTGCCATTCTCACACCTTCCACTTTGGATTGGTGAGACATTTCTGTCCTCCACAGCTTAGCTAACTGTTCTTGTTATTCACCAGAAGTTTTCAATTCCTTACCTAACAACTCCATTCCAGCAAAGTAAGGGTGAAAGGAGGACACAATTGCACCTTAGTCTAGTCTCTTTTTCTTTACATTCTGTTTGTGTTAGAATAAACAAAAATATCTAGAACAGGGTGTAAATGTCCTATGTGTGTATTTGAAAGATATTTTTACAAAGATGTAACTCTGTTGCAAGCATGAGTTATGTGGTAAATTTGGGGGTAAATAGGATATTCCCAAACATAGTCTTACAGGCTGTTGAGTGTGATTTTCAGAGTTAGTTAATTTTCTGCTGTCACCCTAGCTGTTGAAGGACATATAATTCACTGGATTGAAAGCAAAGCCTCTTTCGGTGATGAAAGTAGCCACCAAGCCTACTTGCAGGACCAGTTTTGGAGCTACTGGAACAGGTATATTTCTGTTATTTTTCCTTATAGATAAAGAAGTTACTGGAAAAAACACTAGTCACTTTTGTATTAAACCATGTGAACAAAATGCATGTTACTAATCTGGCATTTTGAATGTCATTAATTAGTATGTCAGATTGGAATGCTGAAATATTTGTGCAAAATTCATGTCATAATCATTAACATGCAGCAGATATATGTGGTGATTTTACAATGGTGCTAGATGACAGAATAAGTTACTTTGGTACAGAAGTTATGTGTCAATTTTTTTTAGTACCTGACTTTGAAGGAAGATTTTACTGTAATGTTTTGTAATACCTGCGAGGTGCCAAATTTGTTACAGTATTTTCACAGTCTAACCAAGTGGGCTTTGTGCGTCAAAGAACTTTATTGCTCATTTTCATTGTATCTAGGACAATACTGTTTGACTAGGGGTTTTTTTAATAGTTTTTTTATGTTATCTATGTTTTAAGCAGCAATAACAATTATCTTCAAGCTAAAAAATGTAGTAAGTATTTGCAGGAGCATAAGGAGGGAAATAGGTTATGCCGGACGGAATTTTTGAGCATGTTGACAGTATTAGTATAAAGATCTTTTCTTTTAAAGATAGTTAAAATAGTTCTACTTTATTCTTATAAAGGTCATTATTACATATGTTTATCTATCTTTCCATGATACGAAAAGCCTCCTCACTGGAGGATTTTTCTTCCAAAGAAAATCTTAAACAAGATGCTTCATCTTCAATTCCCTTTTTCTATGTGGTGGAACCCTAAGCAAGGTAGTGAGTAAGTGAGGTAAATGAAAGTTTTAATACAGGAGTTTTAAAAGCATAAATTTAGAAGTCTGCTTAGTGTTCACGAGAAAGCATCGATGAAATCTGAGGGATAGTGGAGAAGATGGCACAAACGTGAACATGCCACAAATAGACAATGTGTGCCAACATCAGAGGCTAGTGTGGTTAGTATTTCAGCTGAATATGCTGAAGGTGAAATATGAAATATGAAAATACCAAGGTGAAAATAGCTAGTTTTAGCTTGAGAAGTACCTTAAAAGCAGATTCTATAGGAGGCAGCAGAGAAAGGGAAACCAAATCTTGACAACAGCATCAGAGTTCAGAATTACGCTCTGCAGCAACATTCTTGATTGACATGAGAAGGACCTGCTCTTATTTGACAACCCCAGAAAGCAGTGACTTGGAAGACTTGAATCAAGATAATGGGAACCTCAGGAAGACTGTCAGTTGTTGGATGAAGATACCATACTACAGGAAAGTTGTAGAAAAGAACTTGAGAAACATATAACCAGAATACAAGACTTAGAAAGAAATTTGAGTATATGCAATATCTGGGCAAATGGTGAGAATAGCAGGAAAGATACTGATGCAAATGGAGCTGAACTTGCACATCAGTGTAAATAAGAGGAGATAGAGCAGCTTAGGCTGGGAGGAGGCCAATAGACGTACTGGCTGAAATATTTTCTGAGGAGAAAGGATGCGTTTGAAGGGTCCATAATGGTATCAGAGAAAAGCAGCTCCAAGAAGTGAATTTTAAACAGATGACATGAACATAAAGATTCTCACTAAGTTGAGATGGGGTGAATGTTGAGTAGACAGGTAGAGTGAAGGCACTGATCCATTTGTTGTTTGTGGCAAAATTGCCATTGCAAAGTTGAAGTTTGTAGGTTCTGTCATTTTTTGTGCTCAACAAAATGACTATCCACGTTTTGGTTTGAGCTATAAAATGTGTAAAACATTTGAGAGTAGCGTGTGCCATTTTAATCTGACGTTTCTGAAAGAAGCTTCTCTTACACTTTTATCAGGAAACCAACACATAGACAACTTCATGGAATGAAATGGAATAACATTTCTCACTGAGGTGTTAGTCAAGTACCTTTAATGTTGCAAAATCTAGACTCAATTGACATGTAGATCAAAAAGACTGTTTTGGAAGTAGTTTTGAGATTTTGCCATATCTTTTGTTATAGCTGTTCATATTGAAAACAACTACAAAAATTGTTGCTTCTTAAATATAGTGACTTTACATTCATATAAAGGACACTAGAAATCTCCTTAGCAAGATTTGTTACTCCCTAAATCCAGAATTTAGTCATAGGTTGATTATGGAAATTAGGCAGATTTCTGTGGGGTTTTTTTAAAGAACAAATCCTGTTAGTTTTAATTTTGGTACTACTTGGCCAAACTAACAGTATTGTATCTTCTGAAATGAATTCTGAGTTACTGTAGCTTCTAATATAATGACAGCTGGGTTAGTGAACACATGTTGACAGATTAGGTTGCATGTAGGTTAGACAGTTAACTTTTATTGCTCTCTGAAACTATTTATACAAAAGGACACAGGTGTAGCTGCACAAACTGTGAATCAATTTTGTGTGATTTAATCAGCCTATGCAAGGATGTCTGAAGTGAGAACCAGCTTCCTAGTCACTTCACTGCACCTGTGTGTCTCCATTGCTCTTGAAGGAGCAATCGTTTGGAGAAGCATATTCAGTTCACAATAGAGATATCATGACACTCAGCTGATAGTTTAGGGTTTGTAAACCTGATCTGTTGGTTGAACTTAAAGCCAAAATGAAATTGGAGAGAAAACCTGTAACATTGCCTGTTAGATGTGGATAGACATACATGTCTAGATACTTTAAAAGGAATGAAGGTGAGAGGTTTTAGACCTTTTCCATTCAGCTTTTTTATTGTTTCTCTGAAAAGTAGGAGTGAGACTGGAAAAGTTTCTAGGTTTTTTTCCCACATCTGTCACAGATGTACGATGAATTCTGCACACAGTCTAACTGAAAGCTTTGAACATAGCTGTGGTTTGTTTGCTGTTATGTGTGTATTTCATTAAATCCTGTACTCTGTGCTAACTAAATCTGTGAGTGTCTTAAATTGGTCTGTACTGACAGGAAAGAAATGGCACTTTCTCATTTAACAGAACAGCTCCCTAGATGCAGTCAACCATGTCTGTTCACCTCAGTGCAAAAGAACACCTTTTTATTACTCTGAGTTCTGCAGGGACAGCTTAGCAAGGTTTTTTATGGCTCATACATCAATGGTATTGTTAAGCAATTTTCAGTTGCAGTGCTGCACTGCAACCTCATCTTCAAATTAAGCTTCACATTAAAAATGTACAAAGTGTACCTTGTCACTGGGTTTGCACAGTTGTAATTTAAGATGCTGTTCAGATATTGAGATTTTTCATTAAGAAACAGGAAAAGGCAAGTTTGGTCTTGCATATTCCCAGACTGATTTTGCAGAGTTGTGTTTTAGAAAAAAGCTATTTTATATATTGAACAAACTTAGTATAAAATGATTCATGTACTTACAGAACCCCTTCCTTCAGTATGTTTGTTCCTTCAGAGTGGTGGCATCCAGTGAGCAGGCTATGGCTTTCACTGCCACTGGGTAAACAAGACAACAGCATGTGCAAAATATAATTGCCTTGTGTACATGTAGTAGATACCACACTTCTCATTGTTCACTGGCCTACATTGGTGTATTTCTTGTAACCACGAGGTTAAAAACTGTTAAATAGTCTGTGTGACCGAAAGTAATTTGGAGAGCGTGAACAGGAAGTAACACAGATTGCGCTTTAAAACACGATCTGAGAACATGTAAATTATTTTAGGGTTTAAATGAATGCTGCTGTTTCTTTTTTTTCCATAGTGTCTAGTTTTATAATTTTTTTCTAACTTAAATTAAAAATTGGAGTCCCTGCTGTAAAAGTCTGTTAGAGCTGATAGGCATGACTGCTGTTTTCTAAGAGGCATATAGAGATCAGCAACACACAGTTCAAATAGTAATTAGTGGGTGCACTGTCAGTGACTTGCTGTAAGAAGATATAAACTCAAATACAGCAGTTTATATTTTCTGTCTTCTGCAAGCCTGGCTAAGGCATATGTACATTCTGGAATGTAATTTCTAGAGAATCCCAGGAGGAAACTTGATGCTGTTATTAGCTAAAGAAACTTTATTATATGTGAGGAAGACCGTAGCAAAATGTCATATTTGACGCTGATATTAAACTAAAGGCAATTTCACGTAGTGAAAGAGAAGCATTTCATCTTCCCTTTGAATAAGAATGGTAAGTCATCCCGGTACTAAATTCCTTCCCCCATTTGCTTGTATTCTTAATGTTGTTAGTCCTGTGCTTCTGCTTTTTTGAAAAAATAAATAAAAGCAAGTTTCCTGTAAGTAATTTTAAAATAGTAACCACACTTTATGGGAACCTAAATTCATGATTAAATGTGTTGTTAATTAATACATTATGTCTGATCTTGAGGCTTCAGTTTATAACTAACAGTCGTAACAGTCTAACAAATAGAGTCCTGTAGATTAAAAAAGGTATTTATTTCAGATAAATGCAAACTGAAAAAATGCAAAGGATTGTATTTCAGTCAAACACAGCTGATGTGTTCTTAGGCTTTTTTGAGAAGAATGTTCTGTTCAAATTCATTTGCAGTTGACTCTAAGGATGAATCATACGTGAGCAAAGGCTGAATCAGAACATCAGAACGATATACTTTTTTTTCTGTTCAGCTGTTTAAAATGGTTTTGACGTGTTACTGTGAAGACTGTTTAAGTAATAATTGTGGTCTGATTGTGTATGGTAGGGGAAGATGGAGTTATACTGTGGGCTTATGGATGTCTGTTCTATAACAAGATCACTATTCTGCAATTGCAAATGGTTTAAAAAGTTGTACTGGTGAGTTGAAAGCCAGTGGTATAACAACTTGACTTGGAGGAAACCTTGGGAGTTGCATTTGTCAAGTGGCTGGGAAAACTGTTCATGCATACCCAGCATCCAAAGCTTCATTGGCAGCCCAAACATAAAGAACTGAAAGGTCATTCTTCTTCTTGCAGTATGATGGTTTGTTGACGTATTTTGACACACTGGTACAATGCTGAAAGGTTTTGACCTTACTGCAACACTGAGGGACTTAGGGTTTGTTTAGCTATCTAATGCTTGTAGATTTTCACACATGCTGGGTTT